GAACGATTGAAACAGTTTCTCAGATTTATATAACACTTGCTACTGAGGCTAAGATCATCCCAAACGGAATTGCCTCTACGTGATGATGACGAGTTTCTCGGTCATACAATCTTCTAAGTTCCCACATGAGAAAGAATTTGAGCGTAAGTTACAGCCGTTATTCTAACCTGTACCATCGAAAACTAACCTTTGATTATTAAACCCAAAATACAGATCTTGACATCATAACCCAAATTCCGAAAATCATTGGAGGGGGGACACCGTATAAAAATGTTATTATGCGCACTGTCTACAACCTTTCAGAAACTTCATCCGTCATCTGGAGAGACATAAAACAAAGCCAAGCAGTGTAATAATAGTACATATTTTTGCTAGTACACAAAATGCTAGCAAATATTCTTTTTGTTAAACAGAATATATATATAATGTCATTGTTGTCTTGTTTTGTTACGTTTGTTGTTCATGCCTTGCAGAGCGATCGAGCATGGTCCAAAACGTTTGAGACAATGGTCATGAAGTTGTTATACCGTACCATTTCGTCAAAAGCTTTTACAATCCGTTATTCGTGGTAGTTGCTGATAGATCGGTGATGGTCAAACATACGTTTGATGTTGGTCTCTAACACTTACTCTTAGATTTCAGTCATGACCTTTCCGACCGGCCTCCGTGCATTTTAACACGGGTCTTAAAAACTACAAATTAAAATGCTGAGAGGTCACAGGTTGTATCTTCTGGGCTGATTGCTGAAGATGGAAATGTTCGTTTTTTAACTTTACTAAAGGGAGAGTTGTAACTAATCACTGTCAGGAAGATTCTCGCCATATGGCAGATTCCTTGGGCAGTCCTTCTGGCATCTTCAAATAGTAGAGCGCTTGCAAACTTGTTAGTTAGATGGTAGATAAAATACAAATCACCGCTGTGATCATCTAATTACTTCAAATTAGAGCATTAATTTACTTCTCGATCAGAGCCTACATTGCTGATGTATATGTTACCGTCAAGACCACAATCCGCCCATACCGGCAAAGCCTGAAAATGATCTGCGGTTCAGTCTAAGGCAATGATACTGCGGCTTAGCTGGATTATTACTAAACTTACCCCTATACCAGTACCACAACACTGTCTTAATGTACGCTTGAGTTTACACAATGGCTGTGATGTAAACTGAGATAGAGACAGTAAAAACTAGATTGCCGGACTAGGCTGAAATGCAAACTAGTCGCTGTCCATATCGAAAAGAAATGAAACGCAAATTGACTTCAGTCGACATCGGTGTGGATGGTTAACGACACTGAATGGTAACACACATGCCAGTCCTGGTAGGGCGGACATCATGTACACATGGAACTCCTGTGAGACAATGACCACTGTTCTGGCAGTCTCTGCTGCAGCACGATTAAAACAGTTTTGAGTATGCTGCAAACCTCGTTTATTAGAGAAAATGAATTAACTAACTGTAGGCATCTGTTCCACGGATATCTAATTATGAACCAGAAATATGACCAGTGATGAACTGGAAAAATCAGCCGATAACCCCTATCGATGAGGACGGCATTCGAAGAAGAACGAAAACTTGTGATCATCTAACTCTTCGCATGACTCAACGCGTGTTTCCCCCTTTCCTTTCGTCATTCTAGTCGTCACTTAATCGCCATATAACGATCTACTCATATTACATCGAGTTGCATCTACTTTCCCATAATGCAAAGCATTGATCAACCGCACGAATCAGAGTGATTCTATTAGCCTTCCTCCTTTAGGCATTCAACTTCTGTTCGATCTGTACATTGAACATCTACGCAAAGTCACTGATTAAGTTTTGTTCCACTGCATCGCATATTGACCTACGAAACGTCTGTGATCCTATGCGAGGAAAATGGCTAGCCACCGGTTTTAGAGCAGCAGTCTTTCTAGTGAGGCTCGGGAGTTTATGCCTTGTGACACAGCTGTGAAGTGATTACTCTCATTACCAGGAATGAGATTTTCGCCGACAATCACAGCCGTGCATGTGGCGGTATGCAGGGAGAAAGCCAGCGTGTCCAGGCGCAGGTTGGAGTTGATCATCGCCGTGATGACGCCGATTTTCGACAGGCCGAGGGACAGCATGGCGTATTCAGGACAGTTCTGGCAAAACAGACCGACCACGTCGCCCTTTCTGAAGCCCTGCTCGTAAAAGTAGTTGGCGACTGCGTTGGCGAACTGCGCCGTTTCGGCAAACGTCAGTTCGCGACCGCTGGCAATATCAACCAACGCCACATGGTCTGGACGACGCTTGGCGACCGAGTCGAAGAACGACGACAACGTGCTGTTCTTGAACTGGTGGATCTTCAGCCGCAATTGAATATCGGTCAGCAGAGCGATGCCCCTAAACGGACCGCCGCGTTCAGAAAATATCGTAAGACATAAGTAATAGAGCAAGAATGCTCCAAATGATCAACACAACATGGAAAAAGAATGCTGGTGATGACCAATATCCAAAAAGTGACAAACGACTTATTTTCGCTTTGCATCCAACGGGCAGTAGCTGCGGCCGATGACAACTAATGAACCATTCGTACTATCATAAGCAACAACAAACACAATACATCCGTTATGATGGCAATAACTGCTATTACCTATAAGCGGAGTAGTCAAGCATGAAACACAAGCAGACAATTAATTATCTTGTAGCTGTACCAACCGGTGTCACTTGTCAGCTGTGACGTAAAATAAGTCAACAACATTACACAGACAATTTCCACTGAAAGACTTTTCAAAAAAAACCGAAAATACTTTACGAGCTACATTCAATACAGTACAGTTTCGGCTGAAAATGAGAAAACAGTATGAGAATACGGGTATGAGAAAATAGTCGAAGGATGCGCCGGAGCATGTGGGAATCAGCACTGGTCAGACGCGGGGATAGAACTTGTTCGGTGCAAGGAATTAGAGACGGGATAAGGCGTCGATGATCAGTCTCCTTAGTTCGTCTGGCGCACCCGCTATGACGATTTCCAGTACGAAGCAACATGCACGCTAAACTTCCTGGAAGACTGACAAGACATGAGATGACCGTTTCGACCATTTCAAATCATCTTTCAATATTAATCCTAGACAGTTGGAGTCTTAGACACTTTTGAGTTGATAACTTCTTACATAAACAGTGGACTTGGCCGCGTTTGGGATGAAGGTTTTCCCTGCACGTTCATTTCTAATGTCGTTCCTTTCAAGAGGTTAATGAAGGAGTGCTGATCTCCATCCCCATGCCATCAGCTAAGAGTGCCTAATTTTAAAGGCGGATGTGTCGTAGGCATAGTGTGTAGTATCCCGCTCCTTTCCCACAGTGGTACTCATCAACGTCGGCAAGAACAAAAGCGAGTGACCTGACCGGGACTCGAACCGACGAACTCTCGACACTAAGTATGACGCTTGACCGACTGAGCAAGCCTGATCAAATCACAGAACGGAAATTAGCAGCCACAACGACGAAATATCAAGTAAAAGATAAAAACAACTTTCTAAATACCGATCGTGCCACTGGCGGTCAAGACAGTTTTATGGTATCGCTAGACGTAACAGCATTATTCAACTATAGTTGTCAACAGATATATGATGTTCTAATGACTCCTCGTTCACTCTGATTCTGGCTAAGTTGTCCTTCAACCCCCTGAAAAAGGAAACCTTTGATAAATGCCAAAGTTGATTCCGTTCCTTGACGTACGTCCGGTTGGTGGACATAATTTTCGTTTTGCGCTCATTTACTGTGTTTCTTTCTGTAAAACTGGACTTACTTAAAATGAAAAATAGCTAAGCTGTAAAATTTCTTTAAAGCTTTATTTAAAGGAATGACTCAATATGCGTAGATCATTTTCAAGCTTGCTGTGACAGATACATTCAACACGTAATCATACTACTGAGTTCTTAAACTGAAAACCGGACCGAAGGTCAGGATAAAAAATCAGGGTAAAAAACAGAATTTTTTTGTTTAACGCTACGCTTACCGAACTTTATAGCGGCGTTCCTTTATCAACGTGACAACAACAAAATAAAGTTTCGCACAATTCCATCGTAGCCAAGCTGATAAAAAACCGCGCCCGATGGTTTAAAAGCTTCGAGCTAAATAAATTTTTTTTCAACCTTGTTGTTATCGCTGTTTTGTCACCGTCACCTGAAGTTAACAGAGCTTAAAAGGCAGAGTAACCCAGATTTATTGTCTGATCATTAGGAACAGTACTTCAGATTGACATAGGCAACGTTTGGAGCATATTTGAGCGATCCATTTCGGTCGCTTTAGCCAGGCATCGATCGGTCTCTGAGTCCATTTGAGTTCTCTTAAACTGGTGGTGGTCAGCACCTGCTCGTTCGTGACCCGGTGGTACCATCGCATTTTGAGGATGGGTACAGACGCAGTTTGTGGAAGCTGTCTATGGAGCTTCGCGACACCATAGTACCGCAGATCTTCCTAGACTGTACATCAGCACCGCGAATACGGCTGCTCTTAACATGACGATCTGTGTCTGTTCCTACATGTTAATCTTCCATATTTACACAGCCTGCCATAATTCGCTGAATGCCAGTTCGAAGTGTCAATTCACCTCAACATCAGTGTAGCAATCGTTAGTCAACACAGTTCCGAGTCATTTAGTGTACCGTAATGTCATTCCAAAATATCCTTGAACTGCCGGTGTGGCGGACTCTCTGACAATGTTCATCTCTAGTAATCTTTCGCGTTCACTTATGAACCCACTCTCATTAACGTGTTGAACACACTTTCAGTGAGTTACAACAGGCACCTTGGGGGCTGCTCAGCAGCACAACGTCATCCGCATACTCGTGGTCCGTTCGAAATACCGCCATGTATTTTGATCAGCGCTGCTGACTAACGGCCAGTTCCTTGATGCCATTTTGGAAGATGTATTTCCGCATAAAGTAGTCCGCTATGATGTTGAATAACAACGAGAGTGCATCTCGTCTTACAGAATTTAAGTGGTAATGTTGAAGCAATAGGAAAGTGATCCTTAAATTCGAAAACGCATTTAATCCTCACGTACAGATCTTCTGCCAGGCTTACCATCGCCTGTAGAAACCTGTAGTGACGAATAACTTGCCACGTTGTCTGGAGATGAATTGAATCCAAGGCAGCCCGGAAGTCCATGGACGTCGCATTACAGGGAAGTTGGAAGCTCTGGTACCGCTCGATGATTCGCGTAAACACAAGGATGTTGTCCCGTGCATGGCCGCCTAGTTCGAACGCCGTTTTGCTTAGTTCGCAGTGAACGACTGACGGATTTCCTTAATTTCGCAGAAAGGGATTCCTCGAAAGTTGATACAACTAGCGCAACTCCCACTCTTAAAAATCAGAATCATCCCGCCTTTTTTCCAATGTTTGCGGATAACTGACTTTCGCCGGGTGGACCCAACGGAGAAGGTTCTCACTTTTGCACTTCAGGATTTCCGCCCCAATCCCGTCATGTCTACAGGACTTAGAGCTTCGACAGAGTTGCATCGCCTCTCAAATTGTCTCGATTGATGTTGGGGCGCAGTCAGCATCACATCTTTTTCAACCTCCCATTCCATCTGGAGGATTAAGAGGATCAGGCCTATTGGGTAACTCTACGGAGCCATCGTTTCAGACGACCATCAGAGCCTCAGCCGCTCACTGGACTTGCTGTGCAGCAAACCGATGATACACGTTTGTTTGCCACATTTAATTATGATATTTACTGGTATGTACATCATTTATTTTCTAGTTCCTGTTTGTAACCTCAGCGTTTCGAGATGCAGATATCGTTGTCTGTCCTTTTGACCACATTTACGAGAAAGCGATACTTTCTTTTCTTCGTCTCGTCAGGGCCATATAATGACGCATACAATGCCACATTTCTTTCCTGGCGAATAATTGAAGTTTTTGTCGTGGCCCAGAGCTGTTTCTTCGTCTTCCTGCTGCTGAAGCCAAGGAACTTGGTGGATATATAAAAGCCTCGGTTCTTGGAAAATAATAATGTCCTTGATAGCAGAGAAACTGCTGCTGATTTCCATCCGGAATGCCTTGCGAAAAACGTTATACTTTAACTTCTCCGTATCAAAGTGGCGTTTTCCATTTCCGGGATGTTCATCGAGATTTTGCTAGATGAAGGCGGAGCTTCGCGACCACTAGGAAATGGTCAGTGCCGATGTGCGATGTCCACATCTCGCCCGAGTGTCGTTGAGGGTACTTTGCCATTTTTCGTTGATCAGCAAGCACTGATTTGGCTTCTGAAGTGAGTTTCTGGTGCCGTCCACGGGTGCTGACGGATGCGACCATGAAGAACCGGTGTTCCGCCAAAGACGAGGTCATGCGTGCAAAGGTCTGCAGACAATGGTCGTTGTTTTTGTCAATACTACTGCCATGTAAACTTAGCGAGCGGGGGTAGCTGTCATGGTCGGCGCCCATCTGGGCGTTGAGGCCACTAGCGATGATCGGTAATTAATGTCGCAAAAAAGAAGCAGGAGCCGCGAGAAGACAGATGTGGAGGACAGGCCATTCCTCGGATCATATGCAACGTTGGTATGGGCATACACAACGACGAAGTTCATCTTAACGTGATATGAACCAACAAACGATGACACGGTCATTCACGTCTTCGACGGATAAGAAAACGTTTGCCTCGCAGAGCGACAGCAGAACTGCAACTCCAGCCTCTCGGCAAGGGCCCTGATTGCAAAATCAGTGGAACTGCCGTCCTTCTTTAAGCCGATGACGTCAGTGGTCTGGCAGATGTGTCCCTGAGAGTCCGAAAATGTACAGCGTTTGTCGCGCTGCGAGACGGGTGACATCGTCCAATTTGCCTCACCATTCAACGTCCGTACGTTTCAGCAAGCTACACGAAGCTTCACCTCGCGGAAGTGTAGTTTTTGGGAGTCAGATTTGTCAATAAAAACGCCCAAACCGCCCAGTGAATGTAAACCGCTCATCGCTCAGGTGCCGTAAACAGCGCGCGACGCAGCCGCTCAACGAAAATTTAACTTTACTGTCGTTCACGCGTCTTATTCTGCTTGCGCATCTTTATTCGGATCCCAACCTTGATCTGTTTGCATAAGCAGAACGTCTTTAGTTTGTGATGTAAATAGTATCCGCCGCCTTTCACCACTTGCTATAAGTCACCGGTGACTACAACGTAGAAGAAAAATTTCCTTGAAGGTGGATCTGTCGATACCTTATTCCTACATGCTGCATGCTGGCTCCAGGCTGACGTTGGAAATGTTGCAGCTGAAACACGAGTTGATTGTGCTGTAAAAATTTGTCTAACAGGACCAACCTCGTTTTCTTAATATTCACATCTACGTCAATTGTACCCGGAAAAAAAGAGTCATTCCTTACGTGGCCCTGTCATTCAACCCTCACCTGGCGTCTAAGTCAGCGCCGCTGTATGCACTTTAACCGTCGTTCTTGCTCCTTCATTATAGCAACTGTTTCCTGGTCGTACAACAACACTGACGTGGCAGAGGTAAGGTACACGCGGATTTAAGGAGTAAGAGCAACTCCTTTCTCAGATCAAAATATTGGAGATGTTTCCAACAGCACTAGAGG